GATGGGGTATTGCTCAGTGGTGAAACACTAGCCTAGCAACTATGGGCCTCTGAGTTCAAAACTCAGTACTGCCAAAAGAAAGAAAAGTTTGGGGAAAAAATATTAAAAAGTAAACAAGGAAGGGGTGGGGTGGGGAAATCAACTCTAATGCTGCCATTCAAAGAAAGATTAAAATTTTGTCAGGTTTCTCCCATGAGGAGAAAGCTATGTATAAAAGTAGGGAAAGAGGGAGAAAAGCCAACCTGAGGATGTAGCTCAATGGTGGATTTCTTGCTTAGCATGCAGGAAGTCCTGAGTCCAATCACCAGCACTATAAAAAATAAAAGCCAAGGGGCTGGGCAGGTGGCTCAGTGGTAGAGTGCTTGCCTTACAGGCATGAGGCCCTGGGTTTGATTCCTCAGCACCACACAAGCAGAAAAAGCCAGAAGTGTCACTGTGGCTCAAGTGGTAGAGCACTCGCCTTGAGCTGAAGAGCTAAAGGACAGCACCCAGGCCCAGAGTTCAGGCCCCATGACTGACAAAAAAAAAAGGCAAGCCGGTGCCAGTGGTTCCCACCTATAATCCTAGCTACTCAAAAAGCTGAGATCTGAGGATCTCTGTTCGAAGCCAGCTGATAACCAAAAAGCCAAAAGTGGCACTGTGGCTCAGGTGGCAGAGTAGTAGGCTTAAGCAAAAAAGCTGAGAGACAGCACTTAGGTCCTAATTTCAAGCCCCAGGACTGGCACCAAAATGAAATAAAATTAAAAAGTCAACAAAACCAAAACTCTAACTGTCCTGAGGGCTGCTACAGGAGATGACTTGACTGGACCCTCCCCCCTCACCACCCCTCCCCCCCCCACACGCCCTGCTGGGGCAGGGGGAGTAAAAAACAACTACCAAAGGACCAGCACCTGGAAGGAGACTGAACAAAGAATATCCTTTTGAAGAAGAGCAGGTCCATGTCCTTCCCTCCTGAGCCTCTTTCACAAGGTCAGTGATGACCAGTGATGATCCTATCTCTACACAACAAATGCAGATGAGACACTTACAGACAATACATCATTTTTCTGTCACCACCTGTCCATGCACAAATCAACAGTGATTTGAAAGCGATTCCACAACCTGCCCAAGTGGGAGGCAGATGAAAGAAAGTTCTAGAAGGGACAAAGGAAGAAGCAGTGCTCAGGAAGGGAAGGAAAAGGTGTGTGGAATTGTCTACCAAGCTCAGTGCCAAGTGTCCCAGTCATGGCGTGATCCTGACTGTGGTGGAACCCAAAGCTTGGACAGAATGACCTCAGTCCTGGTTAACCCGTGTATGATCAGGAAGCAAGTTGCTGATCTGGGCACAAATGTGGTTGTCTGGGTTCCTCACCATAAACCAGTGGTTTGAGGGTGAGCACAGCAAATAGTTCTCCTATTATTTCAGGATGTTTATGCAGATGCTTGCTGTGTGGAAACATCTGCACGTGGGCAAATCATCATTTTCATAAATCTCTTGTCCAAATACAGACACAGCAGTCACACTAACCCATGACAGAGTTCACTCATTCAAAACACATTTCTTCAGTAGCCACGATACCACTGGGCAGAGACTCCCTGAACCTCTGCTACATCCCCCCACACACAGGGCTTGGCTGTGGTTCTGGCCTGGCACAGAGGCAGACTTCAGTCTCAAGGGGCTTGCTGCGGTCCCACAGGCAGCCGAGCACTTAAAATGGGTACTTTATTGCTAATCAAGCATACAGGAGCTTCTACAGATTACAGTAGGCACACAGACTGCCAAGCAAAGGCAGCAGACGCACCATCCTGCCGCTGACAGACAAGCTAAAAGGACATTTCTAACAACCAAGCAGAGCTGAATATGAACAAGTGATAGCAAGAGACAATTGCTGATTCTGTTATATGCAATACTAGTATGTGGTTTTGCAAGAGAACTCTCTTTTTAAGAGATGGATTAGCTGGACACTGGTAGTTTACATCTATAATCCTATCTACTCAGGAGGCTGAGAGCTGAGAATCATAGTTCAAAGTCAGCCCAGGCAGAAAAGTCTGTCAGACTCTTATCTCCAACTAACCACCAAAAAGCCAAAAGGAGAGCTCTGGCTCAAATGGTAGAGTGCTAGCCTTGAGCAAAAAGCTCAGGGACAATGCCCAGACCAACTTTAAGCCCCAGAACTGACATACACACCATACTAGATTGTATAGGAGCAGAGAATTACCTAATTATACCATTCCATTTTTTTGTGTGAAAATGTTACAGTGAGTGTCTTGCTATGTATCCCAGACTAATTCTATTCTTCAGTCCCCCACATATTTTTTAACAGAAAACTATATTATGGTAGATAACTTATCACAAAGTTGTATAAAAGACTAAGGAAACATAGAACAAAGAGCAAGGAAGGTTTGGGAGAACTAGAAGATAATACTAAATACTGCTTTAAATGTCATTTCCTAGTGGGGTGAGAAGATATACTTCCACAAAATTACAATGTAAGTCAATACACAGTGGAGGTACCTTTGGGGAGCCTCTGGAAGTCAGGGAGCAGCCATAAGCTTTGTCTGTATCCTACTGTTAAATTCCCACCCCTAATAGACAAAGGATTCAGTTTATCTTTTCTCACTTGCTTGGGGGGGGGGGAGGGGTGTCAAAGTTGCAATACGGAGTCTCAGTTTCCTCATCTGTAAAATGGGTATAGCACATTACTTTTTTGGAGGGCTAATGTGGGGTTCTAAGGCCATAAAACATGAAAAGTCTCAGCATAATGAATAGTATTCTTTTTCCTGGGTCTTTGAAGAACAGAGGTTGTTAGCCCTTTGTGGGCTTCTAAGATTAGCAGTATTTAGCCCAAATCTTCTCAAGCCTCTACCACACCTCCCTCTAGCCATAGTCAATACTCTCCACTGAGATAGAATGTCTGTTCTTTAGTGGTGAGAAGTGGAGGGGCAGGCCCATGGCTGGAAGGCAAACACAGATAGGGGGTGGTAAGTGGAGAGAAAAGAGACACACCCAAATTATAGGCAGAAAAGAATGAGGATTATCTAGCTGCTCCTTGTAGCTCCTGGAAAAGGGCCTCTACAACTACAGCCAACCATAGCCCTTAAGCTAATTTATATCAAAGTGTCATTGATTAGTAACAGGCTAATTATGGAAAGAAAGTCAAAGTCAAAGCCTTAAGCGTGCAGGGATAAAAAGTGATGTCATAATTTTATACAAGTGTGCTTAAACACGGCTTTCAATTGCCACAGGAAAAAACTAGTATATCTCAATATTTGCTTCCCTGCTCCAAAACAAGAGAGTAAAACTAGAATTGATCCTAAGGTCAAGAGGATTTTCAATGCAGTCCTTCTAGTCTATTTTAAAAGCCAACATTCAGGTCAATGGTGGAAAAACGCTTTCTCCCAAAATGATATCCAAATACCAGCAGTGAGTCTACTATCACATCATGGATAACTTTCTCTTTCTCCCTGGAAAGGAGGACAGAGTGGTTTGCAGGTTGACCCAGGCTAACCTAGGTCGTTCGAACACTTTGTCAAAGTATCTCTGGAAATCCTGGTGGACAGGCACTTTCAGAAGCCAGGAGGCTCCAGTCAGGCTCCAGTGGGGGCCACAGAGGATCACATAGAACACACATGCCATAGCCTGGGACAGTGGGAAGGATGCTTGCCTTAGCACCTGGCTCAGTCACTTTCCCCATTTCTGAAAGTGGAATGGGGGGAAGGGAGGGCCTAGACTTTTTGGAGAGTAACCACAAAATCATCCACAATAGTGCCACTGGACAGGACCCTGCTGGCCAGGAGGTCTTAATAAACCTATCTTTTCTCCACCTGGAGAAGGCTAGTTCTCAGGATGATTAAAGTTTCTGGATAATCAGTGAGGGTTATTCTGGGGTTTCTAAGTCCACCTGTTGGGTATAACCCCGCCCTCCACTCCCACCCCGGGGACTAGCAGATAGAGGGCCCGGTTCCAGGGAAGGCCAAGCAGCCTTGATATTTTCCATGGGATCTGCCTACAAGAAGGTTTGCTTAAGTGATTTCATTTTTCACCCAAACCACTTTAGATTGTGGTGAGCAGAATGACAGCAAGAGAGCGGGCACATCACCCCAAACTCTGCAGGGCCCTAGCAAAAGCTTCCAGATGAAAACTCTTCCCTGCTTTAAGGCCTCGGAATAAACAACGTGGAAAAACACACGTTCACTCGGGTTTCAACACGCCGCCTCTTCTCCGTTCAGTAAAGGCCCTTCCTTCCCAGCTCTGCGGGTGAAGCTGGCGGGGATGAAATGAACCCCACCTGCTTATGGGCTGGGGGGGAGGGTGTTGGGGGGGGATAGCTAGATCAGCTGCCGCAAAGGCTGCAGACCAGACGCCAAGTCTCCCCAGCACCATCCAGGCAACGACAGGGCGAGAGGGCAGCGCGGAACCCCAACACCCCCGAAGGGGGTTGCTCCTGGGCCTGGGTGAGCTGGGCTGCTGGGGACAGTGGCACCCGCCTCAGACCCAGCCTGGGTCCCAGCGGGCAGCCGGCCAGGCCGTTCACATTCGGCCCAACTTAACTTCCTGTAATCAAAGAGGGAGGGGACCCAAGGGAGGAGAAAAAGCACCCCAGGGACAGAACAGGTCAAAAGGAAGCCCCTCGATCCTGGGAAGCCAAGTTTGGAATGATCTCCTGCCCGGGGTCGGGCCACACCGCCGGCGCGTGGCGCCCACTCCGCGCTGGCGCCGAGGGTTTCTGGGGTTAGATTGCGGGGTCCGGGTGTTGCGGGGCGGAGTGAGAGGTAGCTCGGTAGCTCGGGGTGTCCGCAGGACGCTTTCCATTACGTTCGGAATTTCCTTTTCCTTTGAGACCGGCCCGAGCTGCCTAGGGCGCCGCTGGCTCGTCGCTCGCCCCGTGAGGCGGGTGCTCCGGGGATGCCGCAGCCGCACCTGACCCTTCCGGGAGCGCGACTGGGCGCATAGTCCAGCCGGAGCCGTGCGCACCGGTCCGTACCCGCCCTCCCCACAGCCCACGCCTTCCCCACCTTACCGAAAGTCTCGCGGGCCACCGGGACTCGGATCAGCGCCCGCTTCCGCCTCAGGCTGAGGAAGCAGCGGACTAGAGCCTCCCGGCGCTTGAGGAGCCGGGAAGCGCAAGCGAGGCCGCCCAGCGCAGGCTTAGCCGGCCGGGCGTCTGCAGGTCTGCGTGGTGCGGTGGACAGGGCTGGGATACGCCCCCACCGGAGGCTCAGCCAATGACTTGGCATCCGGGGGCGAGGACACGCCTCCTTTCCACGGCGCATAGCCAATGGTCGTGCGGCCCGGAGCCCACCCCAGTGCCCGCCCCGCCCCCACGGGGCCGGCTGTCACCGCTGTTGTCTCTGGCGCACGTGGGCAGAAGCCCGGCCCAGAGCGCTGGGAGCGGCTGGGTGCTCCCACTCTGACTGGGGAGTGCAGGTCGGAGACCGGCCGAGGGCACGATGGGAGCGGGTGTGGTGTCACTGGGAGATTAAAATCCCGGTGTGGCATTCTGGTGCCAAGGGAGAGACGAGGGCTGGGCCTGCCTGGGCAGCTGGAAAGCGAGCCTCATGGTCCGCTTTTGGACATGAGGGAGCAGCATAGGACTTCCAGTGATGACTTCTATGAGGCCCAGGAGAGCTCCTTACTTGCTCTGACTTTTTTGTTGTTGTGGCCGGTACCAGTACTTGAACTCGGGGCCTGGATGCTGTCCCTTAGCTTTTTTTGCTCAAAGATGGCACTCTACCACTTGACTGAGCCACAGATTTTGGGCAGCTAATTGAGGATAAGAGTCTCACAGACCTTTCTGCCCCAGCTGGCTTTAAATCGCTATCCTCAGCTCTCAGCTTTCTGATGAAAGGCATGAGCTATGGGTGCCCAGCGATCTGCTATGCTTTGTGACCACCCCAAGTGCATCAGCAAACTGTCCTGCTAATAGTCCCTCACTTGGACTGACTTTGCTTTGGCTGAAGTTTGTGGGAAGAGGGGTGGTGAAGCAAGCTGCCTGTGTTAGTTTGATCAAATCCTTTATTGAGTGTCAAGTGGCTGTCTTAATCTCTGTTCTGCTCACCTTCCTGGATTGCCTTCTTCCCTACAGCCCAGAGAGCACACTATTCACAGAAAAATAGCACAGGTGAATAGATGGAGCCAGAGGTGGGTTACAAAGCGCTTTGTAGACTATAAGTACTGCAAACACCTGTGCAGAAGGTTCTGGTAGAAGCAGTCAGGTAAATAGTATCCGCACCACTGACTCACCTCTGGGACCTGGGACTCATCATGGGGCTTGGCCTGATGTAGACATTAATAAATATTCTTGGAACTGAGCTGATCCAGAGTGAGGAAAACAAGCAGGTCTGGGCAGTGAGCAGGCAGCACTGTGGCTCCAGGCTATTGGAATTCCCCAGTATCAGCCCACCTTGTGGAGAGACCACATTCTGTTTCCAGGCAGGCAAATAGAGCAGTTTACCTCCTGGAACATTGGGCTAAATTTTTCTTCTACTCCTCACCATGTGATCCTATTCCTGCCCTTATGTGTTTTACTGGAAACTAGCCTACCTGGCAGCCCTTTCAGCCTCCTTACAAATATAACCAACTTCCTGCAGACAAATATTCCCCTACACCTATCCCTGCTCAGTTTGCATGCCTTAGTCAGCACAGGCTCTGCACTCTGGCAGACTCTGTCTATGGCCCCAGTCGATGAACTGTCCTCCACACATCATCTCCTTTAGGCCAGAACCTAGAGGTTTCTGTAATACAGCCCATTCACAGATATGGAAACTGAGATCAGTGATGTAAGTGTATCTCTGATTGATTGTATCACTAATACAATCTGTCAAGGTCACATAGTTAGTGTGAATCTAGATTTGACTCCAAATCTCTTTCCAAAATCCAAAAGCTTAAACACTGTGTTTGAGGCCTTTACACCCATGCCCATGCTAGGATACTGGACAGATCATATCTAGCCTTAAAAGAACTACTCCAGGCCTGGATCTCTGCTAGTCCATACAAGCATCCTGTGATGCTCAGGTCTGGGTAAGGAGAGGAGACCCTGCAGACCTGGCCTTGCTTTATTTTGGGGGTTATAAAAGAAACATAAGACTGTAAGGAGCAGTAGAAAACCCTTTTAGGTAGCTAATTGAAGAGTCTCACAGACCTTTTTTCCCCAGCTGGCTTTAAATCGCTATCCCCAGCTCTCAGCTTTCTGAGAACATTTTGCAATATAGAATTGACTGGATAAGGCCTGTTGCTGTTGGCCTAGATCTGAGACAGCCAGGTTAGGGATGAGGATGGAGGCAGAGTCATTTATTCATGTAACAAACACTATTAAGAACTAAATGTGGGGAGGGAAGGGATGGTAAGGGGAAAACAAAGGAGTAGGTAACAAAGCTCAATACCTTTACTCATTACCTTACTCATGTAACTTTAACCCCTCTGTACAGCATTTTTACCATAAAAATATACAAAAAAGAACTAAATTTGCTTGCTGTACAGAAGCAGATGAAGAATCAGGAGTACATGATGTTATTATGAGAGTTGTATTTTTTCCTCTTTTTAATTCCAATTGCCTTATCTACAGTGCAAAATGTTCTCCTTTCAGATTAAAACAACCAGAAAGACTTTGGAACAAACACGTTTAACAGAGATAGCATTACTCAGCACAGAAGTTCTAACAACTCAAAAATAAGAACTTGCTAATACATTCCAAATTGTCTCTTCTCTCTGTACTACTCCCAAACTTTCTACCAGAGGGCTCTGGTAGAAAGACTCTTATTAGGTAGATCTGGGGACTGGGTGTTTCCTTGGAAATAGGGCAAGCTGGGAACTGATGAGGGACAACACGATAGAGGCAGATATGCCTTAGAACTTCCTGGGTCCCCTCAGCAACTCATATAGGTCACCCTTGCTGACCATTCCCCCAGGGGTAGGAGGTTGAGAAGAATGGGTTCAGAATGTCACAAGTCAGGGCTGGGAAGGTGGCTCAGTGGTAGAGCGCTTGCCTTGCATGCTTGAGGCCCTGGGTTCGATTCCTCAGCACCACATAAGCAAAAAGGAAAAAAAGCCGGAAGTGGTGCTGTGGCTCAAGTGGTAGAACGCTAGCCTTGAGCTGAAGAGCTGAGGGACAGCGCCCAGGCCCAGAGTTCAGGCCCCATGACCGGACCCAAAAAAATTAAACAAACAAACAGAATGTCACAAGTCAAAGCAGTTATCATGGGATGTTCCATTAGACTTAAGCTTGTGTCTGAGCTTAAGTTGAGTTTGAAAAACTCAGCTCTTCAAACAATATTTGAACAATATTTGGTTGAAACTTGGAGGAAATATTATCTAGCCCCTTAACAGAATGAATGACTACCCAGATATAGGCACTTATAAGGGTCCAGAGAAAATGAGTGGGTTCCAAGTCTCCCACCGTATGCTAGGCAAACTCAACTTCCTGATACAGCAGCATCATTTTCTGTATTTGATGATAGCCTCTTCCCTAGTCATTTTCCTAGGACGCTGCTTGTAGAGGTTGTCTGAGAGAAGCAGATGGCTACTTAGCATCAAAGACAGGGAGAGAAGGAAGACCCAGATTAATTTCTAAAAATATCTTCTTTTCAGACTGAAGCAATGAGCCTCTGTAGCACCACGCATGCGTGGTCCTGAAGGAACTGCAGCTGGCAGTCCCAGCACCATCCACATTCACTTGACCTTATACAGAGAGGCCTGCAGGAGCATCAGATATGGCTTCCCTTTCTTTCTAGCCTTGTACTGTGTGCTTAGAGAAAGGTCAGAGTGAAACTGAATGCATTCTCCTTGTGGAGATTTTTGGTAGAGAGCCCAGGGTGCCTCTACAGGTATTTAAATAGTAAGGAAGAGAATTTCTGTCTTATATCTGCCAGGGAGTTCTCTAAAGGCATTTGAATGGCAAGGAAGAGAATTTCTGGGTGCTTGGGGCTCTCCTCTCATCTCTATATACTTTAGGAAGGGGTGAAATGTTGAGTGTGGTACTCACAAGCTTCCTCCCAAGCTGCTATCAAAGGGCCTTGGTCTTGGAGGAGGAAGAAGCCGGGTATCTTGAGTCCAGTGACTTTGTCAGATGAGGTGCTAAATAGCCCCAGACTGCATAGACAGCTATCTTTGGAGGAATTTCTAAGCCAGGAAGTAGAAACACTGGTACCTCCCTGAAGCAAGCTCAGCAGAGTGTGTGGGAAACACCATCACACTGGGGCCTTGTTCTAGCCCCTTATCATTCTGATAAGAACTCAGAAGGCATGCATTGCTCATGCATAGGACATGAAACTTCTCAAGGAATTCATCAGGCCTACCACATTTTCAGTAGATTTACCAGACACAGTTTGGGGAGAAGAAATGATATCTGTCTGATAGCTGCCAAAGTCAGGAACGTCCTCAGAGGTAGCATAGCATTTAGGCATGTGCAGGTAGCCCGCAATGTGAGAAAGTTGGTCCTGGCAAATGGAGAGCTATAGCTGCAGGCAGGAGGTAACACCCAACCACAGGTACCAGCCAGAGCAAATAGAGACAGCATGGCATACAGGGGAAGAAACAAGGCCACATAAGTAGTCTGGCCCCAGCCCCAGACTGGGAAGATACATATTCTCAAAGCCAACTGCAAAAGCCAAGAGCATAATTCTGGGCCCTAGAGACACAAGAAAACAAATGATACCAACAAAAAACCTGATGTACCTTCATGGTGGGCCAAGCCATCCAGGCAGCCCAGGCAGAGTCCTGTTTAAGCATACCCAAACCCTTTCCAAAACCCTGATGCAGATGAGTGCATGGAGGAAGCAACTGTCAACTTGTGTTCCTGAACCTTCCACAGAGCTGCTGGTACTGGGTAGCACCAAGGATAGAAGGGGACTTACGTGCATCTGTCAATCACATGTCCACATCACAGAAAGGTACAGTGCAGTTATGAAAAGAGCTGTAATGGCAGAGCCATTCATAGTGCGCTCTGAGGTATGCTATAATTTAAATCCCATTCTGCCACTTATTAATGGAGTAACCTTTGTGAGAAACTTAACCTGAGTGTGTAGCGGGACCCTCACATGTAACAGATCAATAGAAATGTGGAGATTTGT